TGTATAGATCTCTAGGTTCAGTGGGTCAGTTTCCAATAAAATCAAGAAGATTGAAGTCAATTTGCTTATTGACAAGCTGCAAATCAACACCAGAACAAAGTGAGAGGATTGGAACCAGCCCACCGCGTCTCTAGTCTGATCTCAGTGTTTGTCATCTTAACTGGAACTCAATGCAAAAATCAGAACATACTGTTGTTTCTTATTTTCTGTGATTGATTACATAGTTTTTGATTATTATTTTGGGCACAGAATAATACTCCACATTGCACTATCTGTGTATTTATTTATTTATATTAGTAATTATTTGTTGACACTGTACGGTCTCAAACCATGATATAAAACCGAATTAAAGACAATTAATTTAAATTGTCACTACTGTTACTTTTGATAAATGTAATGCTGAATAAAAGTATTAATTTCTTTTAAAACGATAGTGTATATGGATTTTACATGAGTACAATTTGACGGAAAAACATGAGGTTCATGTCAGAATTAGTGACCTCAAACATACAAATCTGAAAGTCAATCTGAACCGATCATGCGGGTGCATTGATATGAGCTGAGGTGCATTGATATTTTTATTTTATAAGGTGTTAAAAAAAAAGATGTTTTAACACAAAAAATTCAACTCCAGACCCCGAGGGAGTTCTAGAATGGGGGGAGTGGGTCTGTAATCATGGACAGACGCTCTCTTTGCTGGCTGGATGAGCGGAGAGAAATCTCCAGACTGACAGGCTCCAGTTTATTTTGGAGAACTCAGACACTTCTGACTGTCCAAAGTTACATGAAAGAAGTTTGTTAACAACATTCTGCACTACGTTTTTAAAAATAAGATCCTTTAGGTGCCAAAGTTGACATGATGGGTAACACCGAAAAACTAAATATTGTGTAAGTGTACAGCTATGAAAGCGGAAGGAAATGTGATGAAATGGAGTGTCTGGTGTGTGGGAAGTGCTAGAGTGTTGTCTAAACGGGTTATTCAGGGTTTGGGATTTGAATAGATCGTATTTAACTAAGAGGCCCATTAGATGTGCCATCAAGAGCTTCTGCCTGGTGCTTCTGTAATACATAAAGGCACCTGCGTCCAACACCCCATCATTTAACTCCCTCCCACCCGACTCCAGAGTCCTGTTAAAATATTGAGCAGGTACTTAAGTGTAATTTGGCTGAGTGCAGGCATTGCTGAAGGGTCCTTCATTCTCTGAAGACGTTTTGAGAAGGAACTAACGCCATCAATTATGTATGCACTTATTCGACATCTCAGAAAAAACACGAAAAAGAGCCGAATCAGCTGCATTTCTGTTGTTTACCAGGATGTCGGAAAATTTGAACAGTAGTTGTTAGCTTACTTTGTGAATGGCATTTTATTTCCATTATTAAATTCACTGATGTCAAAAGAAATAATAGCTAAGAATTTGCCAGCAATTATTCTTTCATTTAAAAAAAATATTTCTATAGTATATATTTCTATAGTTTACATAGTATTTTACTATTACAGCTACAAGCATAAACTTACATATTTGGCTCTTGTAATGCAGGGAATATAATTTTTTATTCAGTTATTTTAGTCCAGCTGTTGAAAGTCCTCAATTGTACTTCAGAGATTATTTTGACAATTTTTGATGAGTTTATCTTAAAAATGACCTTTTAAAAAATTCCCTACACTTATGTTGTTTAAAAAAAGTCTAAATAGACCAAAATGATCCCAACCAATCAATCAATCAACAAACCAATCAATCAATCAATCAATCAATCAATCAATATCACAATTACTTTAATTCCTCCAGAACCTGTAGCTTTGCAATGAAACCCAAGAGTTTTTCAGTTTCAAACAGTTAAATGATGGACATGATGCTGTCAAAGAACTTTGAGTTAAAGTGCTCTACGAATGAGAAAAATTAAAATCAATATTACATGCTTTTGTTGACCAGATGCAGCCTAAGAGCAGAAACTAAACTGTGTTAGTACTGAGTCTGACAGAGAATAAAGAAGGATAGATGGAGGACAAGGTAGAGAAAAAAAGAGCAACAGAAGTAGAAAGAGGGAACTTGAATCTTGAGAGAGAAAGAAGGAGGGTAATTATGTGGAAATGAGCAGTCTCCCAGCATGCTTCTCTCCCTCAGCGATGCAGACAGGAGCCATTTGTCATCTGGCCCAAAATGGCATCTTTGGAGCCTGTTTTAGAGACTGAGGGATTGAGGGACGCTTTCTTTCTCTAATATCCTCACTGAGTCCTGGATTTATATACTCTCTCTCTTTATCTTTAAACCCCTGTGCTCGTATCTCTCAGATCCAGAGAGGCTCTACTATCCACCACGACTGAGCGAAACAGAGAGGATGTGATGTGATTAGAGGGAAAGTGCTTCCACAGGTGTCAATTCTTCTTCAACAGTGACCTCTCCTCCACACAAAAATAAATTATTTCTGTCATCCCATTCAATTATAACAATTCACACTCCTCCAAAACTTTTGCATTCTGTATTTCAGAATATTTGAGTTTAATGTTCATATTTGTAACAGCAAGCATACTGCATACTGTTTTCAGTTGGCACAAATAAAAATATGAGGTTCAGTGGGTTGTGTTATATCTTTGCAGTAACTTTCACTTTTTTATTTTTATTTTTTAAAGACATTATCAGTGTTTGCAGGCTGAATGATTGACACTTGGATATTGTATATCCTCCCTCACAGCCTTATTTTCATTCATGTCAAATTAAATATGACGTCTAACCTGATTAAGTAAAAAGTAAACTGTCTCTATTTGGTCAATAACGAGATGCTAAAGATCGAAAAGTTTGGATTTCAATTTGGATCATGGTTAAGACGCAAAGAAAGCAGGAGAAGCAAAAACAGCGGCAGCAGTTTTGGGTCTACATTTTAGCCTGCACTTTACTTTTCATGCTCAAGATGATGAAAGACCAAAGAAAGAGCTTTCAGAAAGTCCCGACCTCTTATTGCTAAACAGGAAAAAAATGTTGCAATTATGCACAGAAAAAAATCTTTAAAAAAAACCCTAATCAAGTTTATCATTGTGAAAAATTCAGAGGAACCTTGCTGTTTTGTGAATTACAAAGTCACAAAACAATGAGAGAATGCAGGATATAAAGAATGAACATGAGAGGGAGAAAGACAGTAATGAGGAGGAGGAAAGAGAAGGAGGAAAGAGGAGGAGAGCATCTCCCACTGTGGGTTTTGGGTTTCTCCTTTGAGCAAGGCAAGAAGAACCTTCCGGATAAATGAAACCACAGCGGAGGCAAGGAGAATCAGACACCTGCGTTCAGAGAAACAGGAAGCATTCCAGAAAGAGTGATGGAGGAAGAAACAGGGATAGAGTGAGATAAAGAGTGTGATGGAGCAAGAGAGAGAGAAAAAGTAGCCACATCTGAGGATGAAATAGATGGAGATAGTGAGTAAATCCCCCCAAACAATAATCACTGGATGAAACCCAAAGCCTTTCATAGCACGCAGCAGGCAGACCTGATCTGGCCCTCTGGCCCGCGGGTGCTGAGGTGGGGGTGGGGGTGTGGAGGGAACTGGCTGTCCTGGGGCACTGACCAGATGCTCAAAGGAAAGCTTGGGATTTTTTCTCTTTGTGTGACTGAGGTTTGGGGTCACACACACAACCTGTAACATTTCACTTGTTGATAATTTCAGTGACTTTGCCAGATTATTAAGATTATTACAACAAATGGATCATTATAAAAATGTATATATATATATATATATATACACTGTATAAGTATATACAGATAAATGTAAATACATATGAAAAATAAATACGATTTATTAAGATTTATTTGTAATGAACAGCTGCAATAAATGTAAATATATAAAGTATATACAGATCATCACTAAAAAACAGTTTTTATTTTAAAATAGTTTAAATAATTTTTAAAACTTTTATTATATAATATTAATATATGAATGCATATGCATAACAAAATATTATAAATAATATTCTGACAATCTGAAACAATATCCAAAAAACTATAAATATTACTCTAAATATATTAAACGCGTGTGTATAATAATTATTTTAGACAACTGCTCAGAGGGAGAGAAAGGGAGAGTGAGAGTGGCGCGTGGTGTATTCAGACACTTCATTTAGTGAATGGGGGGCCGGTTTGAGAGACACCCACTTGCTTTACATGTGAGCACAAAGACATAAAGAACATAAAGAGTGCAGCGTGCAGGCAGATGCCGACATCATCCTGTCCTGTGAAGCTCCATTCATAGTAACTGTGGCCTGCACTTATCATCATTGTGCACACTGAGAATGTGTGTGTGTGTGTGTGTACGACAAACTGTACTGAAGATTTGCTTCAAAATTGCATTGATTCATAAAGTCTAACGTTTCTCCATGTAACAGTTATCATTTATTACTGTTCAAGAATTTGCACACAGTTAAAACACTGTTATTATTAACTCAAACTAAAAATTGAAATGAAGCTTAAATAAAATAACATACATAAACTTCGAAAACTGAAATGAAAATTAGAAATGTTGCTTTGGCAACTATCTGAAATAGTTAAGTAAAATTAAAATGATTAAAACTAAAACTGAAATACAAATTAAAGCTCTATAGATTAAAAAAACACTAATAAAAGTGACAAAAAATACAAAAATAAAAGCTAGCATCGAGTTAAATGTATAACAATGGTGCTCAGAATGGCAAGGTACAATGCACACAAATGCACCGAATGATGCTTTCTGTCAAATGCATATAAACGTAAATACACAGGAAGAGTACGAATTCTAGTTGGCACTGCAGATTTACATAGGAAAACGAAGTGAGTACAGCTTGCCAGCATTTGATGTGATTGTCAGTGAAACAGACGGGACAGAAGACGCGTAACAGAACTGAACAGAATGTACGCTTGTTGTTGTATCAACTCATTTTAAGATTGTGTGACATTTCAGGCCTTTCCTTCTCTTTTTCTCTTTCTCTCTCTCACAGAATGGGGGTGTTCGGGAAAGGGAGGGAGCGTATCAGAGGGGGGTCTGTCTGTCTGCGTGTGTGAAGGCACAGACGGTTCAGTAGTAACGTGATGTGTGTCCCGAGGGATGTTTGATGGATTAATGCTGAGCAGCTCCATTGCGATGTACCACCTGATCTCACTCCCACCGTCTGCCTCTATAAAACCTTCCTGACTGCTGATCTCAGCTAGTCTCTCGGTCTCTCCTCTCTCTGTCTGTCTGTCTCTCTTTCTCTATCTCTTCCTCCTCTCAGCCGCCTCCGCTGCAGGCCAGGAGCTATCCAGTGCTGAACAAGTGAATTTTTTCTTTTTTTTAAGCAGCATAAGCGGGTGTGTGTGTGTACAGTAGCAGGCACACACACACACACACACACAGTATTGTACCACCATACATCTCTCTCCTCCTGCGTGCTCTTCATTTTTCCTTTATTTAGACGTTGTTTTTATTTTTTTATTTCTGGAACGTGGATCTTTTTTATAATACAACGGATTTCATTCGGGACGATTTTCACCAGGGTTTTTGTGTGTGCATGCGTGTCCGTCTGCGGCCGATGTGAAGGATTTCTGGTGCGTCTGTGCACGTGAGACCGTGTGAACCATGCCTCGCTCATTTCTGGTGAAGAAAATCAAATTGGATGATTTCTCCTCGTCTCCCGTGTCAGCGTCTAATCATCATCACCATCATCATCTTGATGACTCCTTTACACGCTCTCGCTCCAGCCTGGGCGTCCGGCTTTGCGAAAATGGTGAGTGTGATGCCTAAATATATTTTTATATACAGATACAGTTGCAACACTTCATGTGCTTGATGTTCCCAAATGGTTATCCTACAAAAACTATCTGCAAACCATAGTTCAATGCGTTTTGGACATTGTGCGTAGAGTCCAACAGATGTTACATAAAGCTTCCCGTTCTGTCGCGAACTAATCTGTAAAACCCTCCATCCTTTCACCCCCAGCCCCGTCCTCCATTGTACCACCCCCCCAGACTTTGTTTGTTTTGTTTTTTTGACTCATGCCGACACAAATCAGGTCACGCAGTGAGATCAGCTTATGCAAATAAAGCCGTATGAAGTAAGCTTGATACCAGTTTGTTGTGTGTAACAGCTAATGCTAACGCTAACATGCTGCTTTGTGGGGCTGATGTGTTTGTCCTTAACTGATACTGCCCTTGAGTTTCGCTCCAAACCCTCCCCCCTCCCAACAGCACTCTCTCTTTCTCGTTCTCCTCCCCCATCCTCCGTTTCTGCCTCATCTCACTATTTCTCTTTTTCACTCTCCTGCTTCCGGGTACATGAATCTAAGTGGTGGAGGGGGAGGTAGGGTTTCAACCATCATTGACGCCACTGGAGACATCCGAGGACTGTACTGTTCAGCTCGAAGGAGAACGAGGGAGATGAAAAGAAAAAGAAGCTTGAGGCAGTGCTGACTTTTGTCACGTGATGCAGCAGCACATACACGCACAATAGGGCAAATAGCATCACGCACAGAGTAAAGCCCAGCATCCCTGAGCGGACATGATGGGACAGGCTGAGCTAAACTGAGCTATTCTAGAAAGACTAAAGGGAGTCCAGAGAGCTCTGTGTCCTCACAGACAGATTTCGGCAGCAGATGTGTGGCTCTCTCTGCCCTGCTAGAGTGTTTTTCACAGATAAGCGAGATAAGACATGAAGGATATCTTCCCACCTGTTACAAAAAAAACCACAACAGACTGTTTATCTGTTTTTGGGTCATTGAATGATTACATTAACTTTTAAGCTGTGCTGCTCCTTTGAAAATAACATTTATGCTGTTATTAAATTGTATTGGATTGTATTTTCATATGCAATAACAAAATCGAAAACACACATTCATTCTTTATTTTACGCATATTAATCATTCTCCTTCGATTGTTCTGTATGATTATTTGCATACAGTTCCTATAATTATATATTAAATAGAAGACACTTTTGCTGCATCTTGAAGGTCAAGAATCCGAACTCTTTAAACAAAGGACAAATAACTCCATCCTTCCTGTCAGCCAATAATGTAACCCTAAAAATATTTCACATCAAAATGTCATTGTTACAACTGTTGTTGATTCTTTACAATCATAATATGAATTAATATTACTATATAATAATTATTTATATATTTGTTATTTATATTATTATTTGCATTATAATTATATTCACAATATTATTTTGTTCTGAGTAATTCTATTCATATCTATTATTTCACACTTGCTTCTGTATAATCATTAAAAAACATTGATACTGGTATTATATTAATAGGAATATTACATTACTGAATTACTAAATATTCTATATTATTGATTGTATTGTTATATTATGGTTATATTCTAGTAAGGGATCCACACTCGCTTAATCACTTTTCGATTTATTTTAAATTTGCAGCAGAGAACAATCAAACGTTTCGGCAGTAAGCCTTCTTCAGTGAATCATACAGTGACATTCCCTACATGAGTTCTTAAAAAAGAAATGAAGTCCAAAGATCACCCGGTGAAAAGTCACATAACAGGTGTTACTGATCACGAAGGTAAATGACCAATCAATCAAGCAATTTCAGGACAAACAACCAAAGATAATTCCAAAACATTCAACACATAAAAATAACATACCAATATAGGCACAAAAGAAAAGCATGGAACACAAATAATCCATCAAAAATGAAAATAAAAAATAAATCTACATCAAAACCATCAACATAAATTAAAGTGGGGAACGAGCCGAAGCATCAGGCCACCAGCCGTTCATTAGTCCGGATCGTATCACCCACTGTAGCAAACAATAAAGGGTTAAACAACTTATTAATTCTTAAAGAAAACAAGAAAGATCAAAGTCCTCATGTAAACCCAAGGGAGACAGACCTTTTAGTCGATACATCCAATAAGCTTCTCTTTGTAAAACTTTTTTCTCTATGTTACCACCCCTTCTGGAAATTGTTACTTTTTCGATACCTATGCAACTTAAATCCTTAATGTTATGACTACAATCATGAAAATGTCTTGCTATTGGTGAATTCACATCACGTCTCCTGAAAGCAGATTTATGTTCACTAATACGAATTTTTAGCTGGCGACTCGTTTTTCTGATGTAAATAAATGGGCATGGACATTTTAACATATAAATCACATTAGATGTAGAGCAGGTAATTAAAGATTTAATGAAAAACATTCTACCAGAATCGCTAAATTGATTGGTTTTTGTTATCGATGAGCTCTTCCTCCGTTTCTGTCCAAATAAGAAAACAGTCGTCAATATAACGTAAACATAATTTTACATATTTCAAAAAAGGATTATTGTGATAAACATATTCTGCCTCAAATTTCCACATAAACAAGTTTGCATAGTTTGGAGCTAATGGAGTACCTATGGCGGTTCCATGTGTTTGTAGATAAAAATCATTATTAAACATAAAATAATTTTTTGTCAAAACAAACAATCATCTCAATGATCCTTCTTTAGGTGATATTTATTTTAAATTCTCCTTTGTTTATTTACAAAAGATCAAATAATATAGCCAATAGATTGGCAAAATCTGCTATTTAGACTAAAACATTTATAAAAGGTTGTTTTCCCTGTAGGAATTGTGCCGCCTGCTCATCGATAACAAAAACCAATCAATTTAGCGATGTACATTCTGGTAGAATGTTTTTCATTAAATCTTTAATTACCTGCTCTACATCTAATGTGATTTATATGTTAAAATGTCCATGCCCATTTATTTACATCAGAAAAACGAGTCGCCAGCTAAAAATTCGTATTAGTGAACATAAATCTGCTTTCAGGAGACGTGATGTGAATTCACCAATAGCAAGACATTTTCATGATTGTAGTCATAACATTAAGGATTTAAGTTGCATAGGTATCGAAAAAGTAACAATTTCCAGAAGGGGTGGTAACATAGAGAAAAAAGTTTTACAAAGAGAAGCTTATTGGATGTATCGACTAAAAGGTCTGTCTCCCTTGGGTTTACATGAGGACTTTGATCTTTCTTGTTTTCTTTAAGAATTAATAAGTTGTTTAACCCTTTATTGTTTGCTACAGTGGGTGATACGATACGGACTAATGAACGGCTGGTGGCCTGATGCTTCGGCTCGTTCCCCACTTTAATTTATGTTGATGGTTTTGATGTAGATTTCTCCCTTACTAGAATATGATGTGTTGATTGATCTACGCACCCTAGACTTTGAGTGCAGTGAACTTTATTTTTTCATATATTATGGTTATAATCATATTCACACTATTTATTCAAACAGTGCAAGCCTTTCATTCGTTCTTGGCTAATACCACAGTTTTATTTTTGTAGCATAACAATACCTAGTCAGCTGTTCTGACAGAAAACATGATTATGAAAAACCCCTAAGCCGCGGACAATGTGTAGACAATGCAGTTATACATCCCAAATAACATCCTCTCAGTCTCTCTACTGATCCTGTTGATCTTTTTCCTGGCCAGCTGTATCCTTATTGCTCACTGCTGTCTACAGTCTCACTGTATAACTAGCACTGCATTAAATGCTGTTTGGGTTTCCCTTTTAGCACACAGATTTAATTATAAACATTTTGTTGAAGACATGGCACCTTGGAAGGTGTATTATGTCGGTGAAATTCCAATGGCAATAAACACGTCTGAACCCTACGGCTGCCAGAAATCCTTTTAGCAGCTCCTCACGATGCATTAAGACTCGCTCTTCATGGTCAGAGGGCTCCATAATCAGTTTAGAGAATTTAGGAGGGAGTTTATATGCTTCAGCAGATAGCATGGTAATAAGATGCCCTGTATTAGGAAATACATTTGTAATACAATTCAATGTTTGGAACAATTTCAATGTTTTGAAATCTGGGAAAGAACTTTGGTTCTCTTCTGACAGAAGTGAAAGTGTTTTGTAAAGTCCAGATTTCCTTAAAACAGTTTAAATACATCCATAATGTCAACCTCTCTTTACTTCCACTTTTAACAGATTATGTTGTGCATAATGGACAAATAAACACAAAACTCTATAGAAGCCCTTGGATAATCTTATCAAAGCAAAAGAGAGTCTGAGTGGCTCCTTCATCTTACGGAGAGAAAGGGACACACTTATGCCTCCACCACAGTCAACCTGCTTAATTAGTCATTGACCATGTTAAAACCCTTTGGGTCACAATCTCACACACATACACACACACACTTACATGAATGAGGTATGCAGTAGTCCTCTAACAGCCACCAGGAACTATGGAAGCCCATTTTATTAAAAATAAAGAACTTTAAACTCAGAAATGTCACAATTGTGAGATATATAGCCATGCTATGAAATATAAAGTCTCACTTGAGATATAAAGTCACCAATGTGAGCTATGAGTTCATATTGTGAAAACTAATTCGCAATTGAGAAAAGCCAAATGATCACAAATTAAGTAAAAATGAATGAATAAATAAACAAGTAAAAAGGTAATAGACAATTTTAAATAAATCACAGGCAGAAATGGACTTCCATAGGGAATAGCATAAAATATAGTTGGTTTCCAATATTATTTTACCATTTAAAACAAAGATTTCCATCCTACAACAAAAACTTTGAATGTATTTGTTATGGTGTGCAAAAGGAAAGAGATAATGCAAGGTGTTTTAGGAAATTATCACTAAAACAGGTGTTTACACTCTTAGAAATAAAGGTTTCAAAAGAGGAACCTTTGCTGCATAGAATGCCATAGAACCACCATTTTGGGTTCCTGAAAGAATCTTTCAGTGATCGGTTCTTAAAAGAACTATTTTTTCCTATGTGTGAAGAACATTTGAATAATCTAAAGAAACTTTTGTAATAAAAAAGAACCTTTTGTGGAATGGAAAAGTTCCATGGATGTTAAAGGTTCTTTATGGAAACAAAGATGCCAAAAAAGAACCTTTATTTTCAAGAGTGTATTTGTCATTGCACTTCTACTTCTATTTTGTTGTGTCTGATATTGTCATTGTGTCTGTAGTGTAATTTGTCTGCATCTTTAATTACTTTACACCTGGAATTCAGTGTACAAGTGAAAGGTCAATGAGTTAATAACTTATTCATGTCCTCTGTCCTGCTGCAGGCTACATCCAGGATTACATCAGCTCTTCTGAATACACAGAGGAGAAGCAGGCTGACATGAAGCGGAGCTCGGATCCGTTGTACTCCCCAGTCAGCAGCGGAGGAGGGGAGTACTGCCAACCAGACCTGGAGCACCCGGACAGCCCTCAGTCTGGCCTCACGGCTCACGGATACTTCAGCAGCGAGAGCGAATCTCTCAGCGAGGGCTACACCATGGATGCGTTCTTCATATCTGACGGCCGTTCAAGGAGAAAGGGAGAGGTCACGGAAGCAAGGAAAGCCGCCACTGTCGAGGAGAAAGAAGTAGCCGCGGTGAACAACGGAGGTCCCCGACACACCTGCAACGAATGCGGAAAGACCTACGCCACTTCATCTAACCTGAGCCGACACAAGCAGACACACCGCAGCCTTGACAGCAAGATGGCACGCAAGTGTCCCACCTGCAACAAGGTTTACGTGTCCATGCCGGCGCTGGCCATGCACATCCTCACTCACGACCTCAAACACAAATGTCACGTGTGCAGCAAATCCTTCAGTCGGCCCTGGCTGCTTCAGGGGCACATGCGATCGCATACGGGAGAAAAACCCTTTGCCTGCGCCCACTGCGGGAAAGCCTTCGCCGACCGATCCAACCTACGAGCGCACATGCAGACACATTCGGCCTTCAAACACTATAGCTGCAAGCGCTGCAATAAGACCTTCGCGCTGAAGTCCTACCTGAACAAGCACTACGAGTCCGCCTGCTTCAGAGGCTCCGGAGACGAGGATGAGTCTGGCTCCGAGAATTAGCAAAAAGAAGAAATGAAGATGAGTTAACGCTCTCAAAAATCCCCCCACAGACTCCCTTCACAGACCCCACTTTCCCTTTTTTAGAAAGCAATATTTTGACCAAGAAAAAAGACCAAACCAACCCAGTAATAAGAAGACAATAATGAATAGATGTTGGATTTTTTTCTTTGGTAAAAAAAAAGACCCTCTCATATAGACAATTATAGTACAATTATGAGGCAAGGCATGCAAATTTTTATTAACATAATACTATTAATAACGATAGTAATAATATTTAGATTCCTGATGTTTTATAGCAAATCGTGAAAAAAGACATACAAAAATTACAGCAACAGGTTTGTGCTTTTTGAGAAATGAAATCAATTTGTATTTTTATGCTGCTCTTTTATTTTGAATTCTTTTGCAACTGCCAACACAAACTTTTTATGAAAATGTGAATAATGACAGTATTTGCAAGAAAACAAAACAAAAAGATTGTAGACCTCTGAAAAGGTACAAACTTTTGTTACACTTTTGGTATTTTATTTATAATTGTTATTTTTATATTCAAAGTTTCCTGCAGTTTCTTGGTTCCATTATTTATTTATTGTGCCAATCATGTCCTGTAACTATATGAGCAGAGCAACCATCACTCTGTTTACCATATGGAGGAAACAGCACTCAAGACTAAACATTTCAATGATCTCCAAACATTCGAAACACTCATAATACGGACGACAGGGACTTTCAACAACATCTTTAGCAGATCTCTGCTCGCTCTGCTGGGCTTCCTCACACTAAAACAGACTGCATGTGCTCCAGATGCCTGGAGCTCCGCCCCTTGTCTTCCTGCTCCTTGATTACCTCACCCAGAGGCAGGTATGACCTCTAACCTCTGCTCTGTCCACGCTCTCAAAGCGCCCCATCACACAAACCTAATTTCTACCATTCCAGTATTGTTGTTGAGTATTTATGTATTTATTTATGCACTATTTTCATTTTCTTATTTATTTCATGTGTATTTATTTATTTATGTAACTATCTATCTATTTATTTATTTATTTGGTTTATTATCCTCTGTGTCATTGGATACTGAACTGCCGTTGACCTTTTACGATGCTGCTCTTTAATGAAAATCTTTATATGCATGATTCCGCTGTAGAGGGATTTTATTATTTTTTGAGAGGAACGGTATGCAGTGTTTGAAAGCAGATGAATTCAGGTGATGATGCTTTGTTTAATGGGCAATAATTCTTCTTAGGTACAGCAACTTGTATAATCACAGCTGTCCTGTTAGCAGTCAATGTAGGGCAATAAACAAAAACCTCCTTACTATCTCAAAGGTCATTCTCTCCATTTCGTCGTTTCTAGAACTCCATTTCCTACTAAGACCATCCAGAATGTCTATATATGGTGTGTATGTGTGACTCCACCCACATTTGTGACATCACAATTCATCTCATTGCCAGATGCCAAACAATTTAGTAATCGAGAAATCTTTTACATTACAATATATTAATCCCTAAAAGTGCAAATTGAACTCGACAGATATCAAAATGCTTGTCCTTTTTGTACTTACAAATTTAAATGACATTTTAATAAGAAAATCAGCAGCAATAAACCTTTTTCTAACAGAATTTTTACTATTATTATCATCACAGTCTTATGTCTCAGCAATAGTTTTGAATGCAATTATAAAAAGACTAACCCACAGCATGACATATTTCATGAATTTGTCTGTCCAAATAAATCCCATCATAAGCTGCGGCCACCAGACGATGACATGAACATAACAGAGTGTCAGTGACGTGAAATAGGAGTCCCAAATCCTAGACCCAGAAATAATGACCCCCCTGAATGGCCAATCAGGATGGATTATTCAGTGTTTGGGTGAAAGGAGTGCTGGATTCAGAACAGAGATGAAACAAAATAGAGGCTTAATGGCAGCATTGATGGAAATAGCTGAGCATATGGTGCCAATGTGCCGCCACCTATACAATAAAGATTTGAAGGATATTTGGAGATGAAAGGATGAGAAGTGCAATCAGAATGTGAAGTGTAAATCAGCTGCCTCTTTGCAGTCTCTCCTGTGAAGCAGAAAAATAGGAAACAAATCTGCTTATTTTATATTAAAAATAAATTTAGCTCCATCTTGAGGAATGAAACCTTGCATAGGACAAAATGCATCAGCATATATGATGCAGCTCATGACAAAGTGAATAGAAGCTGTGTCCACTCCACCAAAAAGGGTTAACAGGTGTTGGTGGACAGACAGTAGTCTGAGAGCATAATTGAGTCTGAGTTTGACCTTGTCAGGAAGGTCGAGCAGCACCAGCCAAAGGCTCTGTCAGCGTTTTGCATATTGTAAAAAGGACGGCACAATCTCAGTAATGGGCCAAAACCTGCGGGGAATAGATAATGAGTTTCTCCTCCCACTTTTCTTCTGCTCTTCGCCTCTTTTCCACCCATTCCTGACCTTGTACATTGGCACACTGTGTCTCAACGTGTCCAAGCAGCGTTCTGCATGGTATTCCACACTCATTGCTGATGGACAGTCAGAAATATAATAACAACTATTCAAATTAAAAATGCACCCTCTGGATTTGATTTTCAAGAACATTTTTACAAAAAAAAAAAAACTTGATCACTGATAGAATGATCACAATTTAAAATGTTAACATAAAATGTTCTAAAAAATTCTAAAAGACATTTAGAATTGTACAAAAGGTTTCTATTTCAAATAAAAAATCTTTCTATAAATCAAAGAATCCTGAAAAAAAGTATCACCAAGAATATTAAGCAGCAATATGAACTGTTTTCAACATTCATAATAGTGACACTGAAGACTGGAGTAAAGGCTGCTGAAAATTCAGCTTTGCCATCATAAATTACATTTGAACATATATTAAATTGAAAACATTTTAAATGTAATAATATTTCACAATAAAACATTTTTACAGTATTATTGATCAAATAAATGCTGCCTTGGTGAGCATAAAAGACTTTTAAAAACATTAAAAAGTTTTACTTTTGAATGGTTGCGTATATGAAAAATACACAAATTTTAATTAACAGATATATTGCGTAGAAATCTGTGTCCTCTCTTTTTAAATATCTGGTGTACATTTTGTGGCAGTTTTGCTCCAAACCCTAATTAATTTCTGACCCTAATGGACATTCATCCTGCTTTTATTTCTAAATCATCCCTTCATATTTTTGACACACCCACAGCTGTGAAGAATCAACAGACTATCTGTTATGAATATCCATCTGGATATTTTCCATTGTAATAAGGCTTGAATTCAGAGTCAATTTTAATTATGCAATGCTTGGTGTATTGTAGATGAGCTCTTTTAAAGACTATTCCAAAGGACTACCACCATCTCTTTGTTTTGAAAAAAAAAATTTTTCCACAAATGTTCAGAAATGTGAGACACCTGAAGAGACTGAGAAAGTGAAAGCTTTTTCCCGTTTTTCCTGAAACAAGTGTAAATATGTGTGTATATAGATCTCAGCAATAATGAGACACCGCATGCGAGCCGATCCCTTTGCTTTTACCTTTTCTGAGCTGTTTAACCCTGGACAGGCTGAACAGGATCAGGGACTTCATTAGCTCATTACCTGCTGTAGCTACCAGCAATATTAACAATGCTAATCATTCTCTCTCTGTTCACCAGGATCTACCCATATTTCTTTGTCTCCGTCCCTCTTTTTCTCTCCTGTTTTTTTTCCTTTTGTGGAAGTGCCCAGCCTGGCTGAACAATAATATGAAGTGCCAAAAAAATAAAGAGTTATTTCCATGACAAAAGCCTTCAGCATATGGTAGGCAACTCACAGCCCTCCATATGGTCCTTGAGAGATTTCAGATTGTCTCTCTTCTTTTCCCTTGCCTTCTCTCTCTATATTCCTGCCTCCCTGTGTAAAAACATAACGATTTTTCAACTTCTGATATTACATTTTGCCTGTTATGAAGGGTAAAACCAATCGTGATGTTTATGAACAATAAAATCAATAGCACAAGCAGTCTATTGCCTCTTTTTTATTGACTAAATGTTTTGCTTTCTCTCAATTACAAAACATGAGAACGTACACTGAAAGTGCATATAGATGCTTTAAGAGATCCCACTCATGGGATAAAACCCCTGCATTAGTAGAACTGTATGTTCCGGCTTGTAGTCTGTATTTCTTTTTGTAGGGCGGACATAAATTCTGATCACAAACACAAGACTACAGTCACAAATCAGAATGAATGATCGACGACTTCTTGTGTTCCTCCCTGACAATGACTACCCATCTCAGCGATGGCGCTGCTGATCTGGGATCAGCCTTGCTTACAAGCATCAATACTATAACTATCACCGGAAGAACATCTAAACTGTAATCAAGTCAGCAGCTACTCTGAAACCTGGTGCACATGCATCTGTACTGGTGCTCTTAAGCCAGTCCAAGCTATTAAATGTTAATGAAACATTGATTTTATGTTACACTCTGGTCTTACCAAGATGCAGCACTCAGAGCTGAATGAGACTGATTACTGATGCTGAGGGAAAGAGACTGTCATCAGGACAGAGGAGGACTGATGTCCAAGAAACCGGAAACACAATTTGACCATTATGTCCTTAACTGTCCTACAAGATTCAAGATTCTTAATTGTCACTATACAAGTGCAATGAAATTAGGGCAGTCCTTATGGTGCAGTCACACATGAGTGCAAGCTACAGTGTTTTAGTTTGGCTTTGGTTTCTGCCTGACCGATTGATTTATTAGATGGTTTGGCTCTTGGTTTACTACTTTCATGTACAGGCAGAGCCATAACTTCCATAAACACTAATGGATAAAAAAAACAGTCAGAATAGTGGGTGATCAATTTGTTTTTCGATGACTGATTTGGTCCCTGACAATCTCAAATGCTTGGTTACAAACTGTTGCAGTTGTTAGTTAGTACAAAATGATTAATCTATGGTCACATTTAGTAAACATTTAGCTTAATATCAACTTATAAATTCAAACCCTGAGCCACTGTTCAGACCAGTACTGATTATGGTTGCATAATTTTTATGACTGTATTTCTTATGTAGAGTTTAAATTTTATTGGCGTAACAAAGCCATACTGGTTTTATAAAATTGTATTCATCTTGAGTTAGGTTAGGCCCTTTATTTCTTCCTTAAGAAGTCTTAAGCAACTTAAAAGAATACAACTAACTAACTACTAATCAGTTTGTTTTTGTGGGTCCTAGAACCTAAAATCCATATAGTAGATTTGAATTGAATTAGATTTAATTATATTTAAAATGTAACGCTATGTAAAACCTACATAATAATAATTTCACTCATTACACATCACATACATTTTAAACATAGTCAGAGACCTATATTTTGTACATATTAACCTGGTTTCCTTTTGAAAGAATATAACATTGCTCCAGGTTTAGTAGTGAATATCACTGTGAATAAAGAGGGCAGTGTAACTGAAGTCTCAGTGTGGTGATGCTGCCATTAGATTTCATAAGAATTAATTATTAAACACCATCATCTGCAATATTGAACATGCAACCCTAAACCACTCAACTCTCAGTGAAGAGCCCTGATAACACGCTGTCCTACTGAGCTTTACCCTTTACCGGCACATGACACTGAGGTTTAATTTGCTATCATTGATCCTAAAACAAGAAAATAGAACAGTGTAAAAAGAAAATCCCAGTTTTCGAGTGCCTTCATAAGATGAAATCCATGTGGTGTCAACAGTATATGCAAAACTGTGCATGCATGTGCTCTGGGCATGGATGCATTTAGTAAGCTACAGTAGTTACTAATTACACTTTAAGATATAAGAGCTCCCCTGACTCACCCTCACTTGTTGATGTGGAAGTTGACCAACAGAATGATACTGCAGTGTTTCTCAATCCTGCTCCCAGAGGCCTCCCACCACTTCTCATTTTACAAGAGTTATTTGAAACAACTTATTAGCAAAGCGTTCCATCAAAGGGTTAGGGTCTTTCTGGTCCCGGTCTTTGGTGGTGAGATATTGTAACTACACCAGTCTGTTGCCAAAAAACATCTCTCCTGTACTATTTTGACATTTCTGGGGTTCTCAGAAGCAGAAGTCATCATATAGTGGAGCATGGAAACTACAACAAATGTATTTTTTGAGTGCCCATTTACTAGCTGCTATTTTTTTTGGACAGTTTTACGGCAATGCCGTCATTTTCTGTGCATGTGCCATATAAATGTCATGGTGTATGATAGTACCACAGCATCAATATCTGATGCCATCACATGGTATCACCACATAATTTTTTGTTATTGACTGATAATGACTTGTGCTGCATATTTGGATGTCAGTACTTACTTGGTATTGTCCTTTGCTTGCAAAACTTCATTGATGTGTGGTTCTGATATCAACAGGACTCTGACGCTTGCCCGCCATCTGCTGGTTATTATATTTCACTTCAGTCGGATCATACTTTGTGTACAGAATATCCTACAATCGAGAGTAACAAAATTAGTCTCTACTGAAGGTCCTTGTAAAAATGAAAAATAGAGCCAATGAGATTTATCTGCGATAACAAGATTGTCAAGTGAACAACAATTTGGTGGCATGAAATAAATCTATTTTACAAATGCTAGTTATCGATCCTTTTGTAAACAATTCATTCCTTAAACTCTGCCCAAGTAAATATTTACTGCCAGCTCACATTCAGATCTGCCTTCATCCAATCAGTAACTGAAGAATAAAACCAAGTCTCTGCCCTACAAATATTTTTCTTTTTCAATAATCTGTTTCATCTGTAATACAAAAGAAAATATCTGTCGCTGCTTCCATTTCACTGTGATTTTTTATTTATTTATTTGTTATTTCCTTTAAACCACTATACATATTTATATACACCTTATGGTGCTCATAGTACAATTAAGACATTTCACTCAATTTTATTAGTGAACCCACCATATGGCTTTGCAGCTATGGAGTTGAACTCTACACAGAGTGGACAGTTTGTCTTCTCACAGCACAAAGTGAATTATCATCTCCTGCTAGCAGTGCCTCATTATCCAAACTTTCTCCCCTTTGCTGCTTCTTCTTCTGTGTGTGCCAGCTTCACTGCTCTTGATGTTTTCTGTTGTTTGTGTGAAAACCCATCTGTCTGTTACAGCCTGCTGGCAGTAGGTCCAAACGTCCCTTCTGCTCCTGTCAGAAGAATCAGTTCACAGCATTTAGAGATCCAAATGTTCATTTTCCTTTCGATTAATGATCCACAGTGAGAGACAGAGTGAGCCTAGCTCCAAAAAAAATCTCAACTACTGTAGACAGATCTCATTCCTCATCATGCCAAATGTCCAGTGTACTGCAGAGACAAATTTGTTGTAGATTTTCTTGGCATATGGCAATAGTTACGTTGTCAGGCCAGCTTTTACCAAATGATTGATCATTTCTGGGAACACTTTTTTGGCCAAGAAACAAAATCAGAAACAGCAGAAAATGGATTCAGACATCAGACACTAGGTGAGAGAACATGCTTTTGTTGTTGTTACTTGAAATATCTTTACATTGCTGATAAAAGGAGAGAAATATGCAGATTTTGAATTATGTTATCAAAAACAAAAAAACAGTCAGAATAAAAACAGGTCTCACATGCTATGTGCAAAGTACTAATGTCCAGTATACCCAATATGCATTGTTGTGCCAGTTATATGCAGCAATTAGCGTTTTGTTATAACTAAAAATAAGTTTGTGAGGAGTTTGTGTATGTTTGACGACAGAGAGCTCATTCTCTAACATTTATTTTGAACTGTATCTATAACATATTTAAGCAATACTACACGAGCAAGAGTGCTGCAGTAATCACAGCCGTGTTATTAAATTACGATATTGATTTTATACAACAACTTCAATAAACAAATTACAATAAGCAATTTACATTTTAGACACAATATCGCCGCTTACTTTGTCCTGTAGCCGCACCGACGAAAATAAAGAGGCAAAGCTAGACCGTTGAATCACACAGTCGTTGTTTTACTGTTATGAACCAGTAAATTGAATCAGAGTATTTTGAATGAATCATTTGAGTGAATGATTCAGTGACTCAAACTCATCAAGACCGCACGTTTCGTGACTGATTTTAGGGTAGGGCGAAAAACTCAATCTCATTTTCTCCACCAACTTCAAAATCTCCCGACATAGGCGTTTTACCTTTTTTTTTTTTTTTTTGTAAGGGTCTTTTGACTTTCTGTGCACATTCGCTTTGTAAACACTGGGTCGGTACTTCCGCCTACGTCACACGTGACCTTTCCAACATGACTACAAATGCCTGAAGTCAAGCTGATTCAAGACTAGCATTTGTGGTTAAAAAGTATATAAATGTTTATTTATTTATTTATTTTAAGAAAATGACCGATCGTTTCGCTAGATAAGACCCTTATTCCTCGGCTGGGGTCGCATAGAGCCCTTTGAAGCTGCATTGAAACTGCAATTTGGACCTTCAGCCCGTTGGCCACCATTGAAGTCCATTATATGGAGAAAAATCCTGGAATCTTTTCCTCAAAAACCTTAATTTCTTTGCGACTGAAGAAAGAAAGACAGTATTATTATTATTACTGTTAGAAAACACTCTCTGTCTTTCTGTTGAGTCCAGACATGTCTTACCCCTCCTCTTTCTCCCTCTCTCTCATTCTTATATATACAACGCATTCTCTCTGAATCCCTCCTTCTATATCCATCTCTCTCTTGATATTATGTTTTAAATATGTCTTACTTATATGCGAAGTATGCATGCTTAAATGTATACATTAGCTTCTCTTGATTTAAAGGCCCCAATAAAGACATGAATGTTATGGAAGAAAACCGGGAGGCTTGTGACTGTCCCATTGACTGCCAAGTAAATAACACTGTCAAGGCCCAGAAAAGTATGAAGAATGAAGAAGAAGCGACGAGAACACTTTTTGTACGCAAAGAAAACAAAAATAACGATTTTATTCAACAATTCGTCTCCTCTGCATCACCGTAGTGCCATTTTGGAGAATATCCACTGAATGCAACCTGCGTATGCTGTTCTGTGTCAGCCGCACCACACGGATACACTGTTTTAGTTCAAATCAAAGCGTAAATAAACGTAGAAAACGTATCCGTGTGGTGCGGCTAACACAGACAAGTAGAACAGCTACGCAGTTTACATTCAGTGGATACTCTCCAAAATAGCAATACGGATGCGGAGGAGACGAATTGTTGAATAAAATCATTACAAAATATCTTCATGGAACATGATCGTTACTTAATATCCTAATGATTTTTGGCATTAAAGGGCATTTTACGGGTTTGGAACGACATGGGGATAAGTGATTAACGACAAAATTTTCATTTTGGGGTGGAGTAACCCTTTAAGTAAGGTATGGCCAGAAAGCATCAAGAGCTGCTCTATGAAATTATAGTTACTTACTTGAGAATAAAGCAGAACGCCGCAGAGGCTGTATTAATGTGGATTCCGGCACATAGAGGAATAATGGGAAATGAGAGAGTTGACAGATTAAAAAACCATAGACAGTTGTCGAGATCAGAAGGGGAGTAACCTATTGTTTGGGAAAGAGTTATTAAGGAATGGCAGATGCAATGGGATCAAGAAACAAAAGGACGACATCTATACTTGTTTAAAAAAAGAGTTGGTATTGTGGAAAGCAAGGGGGGAAGGAGAGAGGAAACAATAATGAACAAACTAAGAATAGGACACAGTAAATTACATAGCACACTCCATATTATAGGGAAGCATCCAAATGGATTCTGTGATCAGTGTCAAACCTTGGAAACAGTTGATAATGTGATTACTGTGTGTAGGAAATATGAAACTGAGAGAAAGATTATGATTAAAGAAATGGAACGTGTACGACTAACTGGACGTGGACTAAAGGACATATTAGAATGTGGCGGAAAAAGTCAATGAAGGAAATATCTGTTCTGCTTCCTTAAAAAAACAAGACTGATGACGAGGATTTGATGTTTTAGTCGGTGTAGGAGTAATAGGGTAACTTATATGTCGAACATCACCTGACCAAACCCGGAAAACAGGTCTCATTGCTTCCGCTTGTCGGAGAACGTGTTAACATCCGTATTAAATAATAGCGATATGTATGGACTTTTAAGATAATCAGTTAAACTAGCTAGCTGTTTTTATTGTTGACGTTTTATTCCATTTTTATATCTAAATGTGAAAAGAATAAAATAAAAAAACGTTTAGATATCAGTCCGCATATGTGATGGACATTGGTTATGATCATCATTGGTATCTACTTTGAAGGCATCTTGAGTAAAACGGCTTCATATTTAACTAAGCATATGCAAAACGCTTGAACCGGAAGCGACGAGACCCGGTTAACAGAATACGGAAGTCTAATTGCGCATAACCCCTATTCCAGAAGATGGCAGTAATGCAACTTCTAGGATGCAAGCTGTCGTTAAAACCTAAAGAAGAAGAAGAAGAACTCTTCTTGAAGAAATACAACCAAATAATATTGTAATATGTACAGATTCTATGTCTGTTCTAACAAGTCTAGTGAGTGGTAAATCTGCAGGACGGCGAGATTGAATATATGAAGTATTACAGTACTTTTACTGTTTAGAATTAGACAATCAGGGACAATGGTATGCTTCCTATGGGTACCGGCTCATACTGGGGGGGAGGGAAATGAGAAAGTGGACTGCTTGTCTAAGATGGCTCTGAAGCACTCACATAGTGAAATTAATATAGCAATTAGCAAATCTGAAATCAAGAGAATTATATCAACTGAAGTAAGAAAGATATGGCAAAAGTTATGGGATAGTGGAATAAAAGGAAGGCATCTTTACCAGATACAGGGGTGTGTAGGTGAAGAGAGAATAAGATGTGGGAGCAGGAAGAAAGATGTTATTATAACAAGAATGAGGATTGGACATTCAGCTTTAAATTTCAATTTACACAAAATAGGGAAGCATGCAAATGGAAGATGTGATAAATGTGGGAATCCAGAAACAGTAAAGCACATTCTTCTAGAATGTGATGCGTATGAAAGAGAAAGAAATCAACGTAATCATAAATTAGGTTTGATGGGATATGATAAAGTATCACTAAAGGTTTTACTAGGGAATAGACAAATGCAATCAAGAATGAAAGAAGAAGTGTTCAATTATCTAAAAAAGACAGGAAATATGGAAATAATATAAATTGTAATAGTGGGAAGGTATTATGTTTTTTTTTATTATATAATATCCTTCTCTCTACCAAATCTGTTCACTCAACACTCCAGATCAGTAGGTGGCGGTAATGCACCTTTAAGTTGGTTTGCCAAAACCGCCCATAAACATCAGAAGAAGAAAAAGAAGAAGAACTCTACTAGTGATGTTTCAAAATCTGAGCGGTGTTTTCCGAAAGCACGTCGGCATCTTAAGAGTGAATCCACTCGGGATTTTCACGCGAAACATGGGCAGTTTAAGCAGAGAAAACCGCTCCATCCATTCAGACAACATCCAGGACATTCATAACATCCCAATGGATGTGATCCTACGACCCATTCCGCCTGTTCTAGATGACCAGAAGGTTCAAAGCCTCATGAGCAGTATACAGGTAACAATTAATTCAGACTATTGACTCCATTTAACGTTTAACGTTTAAATATGCTTATTCAGTGTGCCATTCTATCTGAGCTCACAGCATACCTTCTGTTGTTTTTCCAGGAGGGCGCAGATATCTCCGTTGTGCCTCCCATAGACGTGCTTTGGATCACTGGAGAAAAGGGGGGTAATTATTACTACTCTTTTGGAGGATGTCATCGATTTGCTGCCTATCAGAGGTTAAAGATGAAATCCATACCAGCCAAGATAATCAAATCTAACATCTCAGACTTGCGCACTTACCTGGGAGCTTCTACGCCGAAACTACTGTGATGCAACACACTTAAGAGACGTTTCTTATGACACTGATAAAGAATGTAAACTTTTTATTTTGAAAATGGCACTTTGATGTTCCTCGAGAACAGCTAAAATTAAGGAAATATTCACACAAGTTTCTAATCGGAGTGCAAAATTAATTTCGGGTCAGTTCCTCTTCTCTGGATGTATTGTTTAAAGGGGTTTCATTCTTATGAATCAGAGCTTTGAATCATCCAAAACAGCTGTAATCTGACATGTTTATATTATTTTTGCTCAACATAATTTTTACTTGGTCACTGTGTGATTGAAGTCACGATGACTAAACAGATCTCTCTCCATCTGTCAGTTCATAGTCTGACCACGAGATGGCAGCATTACAGAGCTGATTGATTAAAGCGGCGCTTCCCAACCATTTTCGTCAGCCGAAATCCTTTAGTTTGACCTAAAATATTAACTTTAATTACCCAATTAAATATTAAGTTGATATTGAATGAAACGACACATTTGCTCTGTTATTGGTTAAATATGACATGTAGATAAACAAATAAAACATTTAGTATTTTGTATTAAGTGTTTTTCAATGATTGTTTTTTAATTTTTTTTTAGTTTTAGCTTTTCATTAACTCATGGACTCCTGTAGTTCACTTTGGGAAGTCTTTGAGAGTTTGAGTAGAGTATTGAACAGAGATTTTGTCCAGTGGTGTTTGTAGGCCTACCTGAAATGCTAATTCATTTCTACGATTTTATTAGGGGACAAAAAAAAACAGTTAAAAGGTTGTACTTTATTATATTTCATAAATGCATTTGGTTTGTTAAAATAAAAAAAAACGAATAAAATAAAACGACAATAATAATAGATGCTGCAATGGTAAAAACAGATGATTTGTATTGTATGTTTCCATTTGATGCTCAGACTTCTCTGACCTTTGATGATTTCTATGCCAAACCACAACATGAGCATCCACAAGATGACCACAGGCGTGTGCTGGTCTGGAGACCATTGGACTTGGTTTTGCTCTGTGTTCTGACCCACAAGCTTTGAGATTGACTCTCTCGGGTGGACTGGCACAGTCAAATTCATAAAGATCCAGATCTGCTTTGGATATTAAAAGCTGCACATCTTAATCATCACATTTTAATAATCACTGCAAACTATGTGCTTTGTGAATTTTTAGATAAGTTAAATTCACAGAATTTAATTATTTTTATGTGCCAGTGGAGGGGCATGAGAAATGTAGGACATTCTCTTAAGCTCATCCATAATGGCAGGACATGTTAGGGGTCATGAGAACTGGCCAGCATTCTTCTCCTCAGCAGGCTGGAGTGAAGGAAAAGAATGAATACAGCAGCTCAGTTTTAATACACTGCTATATATAGATGGATTGAGGCTCACAGGCTGATATAGAAGAAATATAGTGGAACCGCTGAATCTGACATGAAAACTGCTCTTATAGACATTTCTGCTCTCAGCTGTTGTCTAGAGGAGATCAGAGGACAAGCACCTCAGATTTCTTCCTTGTAATGGAATTTCACTTGCCTTTGACCTTGGCCTAATATCCATAGCAAAAGGCCTCTCATATTCTACAAGGACAATGACGGAAGCTTTTGAAACCCTGATTCTCTGACAGCTAACATTGCAGGCGACTCAGTTAATAATAATACAATAAAAATGACGACAATTCTTTTGGGATTTGTAGGAATTTTCTGAGAACTGTATTGTGTATTTCTGAACTTTGCAACAGTTTGTATGGTATGACTTCAATAGACAAATAAAATCCCTTGCAAATGTCAGCAGCACCAAGGTTGTAAAGGGGTCATGACCTGCCTTTGTTTTTTATTATTTTTGCACTGTTCTCTGAGGTCCACTTTTAATGTTATCAAGATTTTTACATAAAAAAAACATAATTTAGAAGTAATAGGCTATTTTCTGTCCTGTTTTGACCCCTCATCGGAACGCTGCGTTTGAATAGGTGTAGCGGATTGTAGACTCGGAAGTAAACGCCCACTGCAATGAATGCTAACAGTTGTGTATGTTTGACAGCTACATGTGATTTAGGTTAAAACACATAAATACACAGTACATATCAAACAATGTGTAATAACAGACAAAGTAATAGTGACCACAAAATAAAAACAGTTACTCACACTTGTGTGGTGCGACATTACTGTCGAATCCAATATAGTCGGCACAGCATCGTCTTTTAGTTTTGTCTTTGGAGCCATCTTTATCGTTTGGTTTCTACATAGACCTGTGTTTGCCACTTTCGTTATTTACACTACATGCACGAATCGGTGGGTGGGGCTAAACAGGCAGTGATGTAGAAGCAGTGTTGATGATCTTCTGCGGAGGTGGTGTTTAGCCACACTATTATGTCATAAAGTGGTACATTCCACAACCTGTCATTTTGGCAGATTGGCTTTTCAATATAAGCTGTTTTTTGAAAAGAAAGTTTTGAGTTCTGAAACTTACAGGATGTTTTAAAAGTACAATGACCTTTTATATGTCAAAAGATCAAGGGAATTTTGATTTCTCAGTTCATGACCCCTTTAAAGTGCACCCAAACACTCAGAATGTTTTTTACAAAAGCTTGTTGTATTGCTTGGACAAACACACTTAAAATATTCTTCAGGGTGCACAAAAGAAAGAAAGTCATACAACGGCATAAGGGTGAGTACATAATAACCAAGTTTTAATTTTTGGGTGAACTGTCCCTTTAAGAAATGTGGTCTTACCTTGGGATCTTCATAGAAACAGAGTTTAGCTGGACACCAGCAGCTGCTGATTGCAGGAATCATGTCTTTACAGCCGCGTCCTTTGATCGTGGAGGAAGGTACGGGCCTGTGATTGGAGATAACTACATTGTAGATCTCTGCTGGAAGATAACAAGAGTTTCTCCATTGGCGATATACGAGTCCCTGGGGTGCTGGCCCTGATCTTGGCCTCCCTTTGGGACCCCTCAGGAAGTGAAGAGGGGGCCCCGGGCCTCGGCAGGAACAAACCTGCCCGACTGTAAATTTCTGGCAAAAGAATGGTCGCGTGTGAGAAGAGTTCCTGTGGCTTCCACACGGTCTGGAAAAAATATATCCTTAGAAGTCTCCTGACATGCAAAACCCCTGATTGAGGAGACACAAAGAAAGAGAGACAGACACACACCCAATTTGGGAAGTGTGGGCTGCACTTGCTGCTTTTTGGGGAAATAAAGGAAGCTGTAAGAATGTCTCCTACATCCCAAAAATTTTTCTTCCTAACTAGAAGGAGAGAGACAAAGAATGACAGATGGTGGGAGAAGAAACGGGTGCTTGAAGCAACATTAACACATAAGTATGTGTTTGAAAATCTCATGAATATTTCTGCCTCACAAGCACCTGCCATGAACCGGTGTAATTCTACTACTCTGCTTTTGACAGGCATGAGAAATCATCTCTCTCGGACAAATCCAAGCTGTCTGAGGATCATGAAAGGCACAAGACGCATTTGACCTGGATGCAGATCTTCCTTCCTCTTGTTAAGGTTATAAATGATATTTTGTAGAAATTGTTATATTTATGCACAAATGACCATGTCTATATATATATATAGAGAGAGAGAGAGAGAGAGATATTGCTGAAAATGTAATTTGCTTGTAACAAACTTTGATAATAATGTTTATCTAATAATTCATTGATTGTTTGGATGGAGGCAGATCTGAATGTAAACTTGCAGTTGATTGTAAGAAAGTATGTTGTTTCATCAGAAGATCGAGTTATAACACCTTTAATAAAAATTACAAGGTCAAAATTTAAAATGAAATACATACATGGATGAATCGTTCACAATAAGTTCAATAACAGAATTTCATAATACCAGTTTGGTCATTTAACATCCATTATTGAATCACAATCTAGGTATGAAATTTTACTTTTTACCTCAAAATAGTTTTTTCTGTACATTTTTCATATCCTTACCTCAAAGGATTACCTTTTTGTTTTTATTGGTCCCTTTATTTTTTCATATTTTTCACAGATGATTGAAATCATGAAATACAAGCAGAATGAATTGTTCTGATGTAAATTTCCCATTGAATTGACTCAGGAACTTTTTTGAACAATTTATATTGAACAGCATATGACAATAAAACCTTTCACATCTGTAGTTAATTTCTAATTGACAAAACTAGTGAAAGGCCATATATTTCAGAGCTTGGTGCAGTTGAGCTTTCGGCTAAAATCGGAGTCCTCTATCCATAATATTGCTTTCTCCAGTAAAAAACACTCATCTAAATCAAGAGAGCAGTATGCACTGAGCAAGCACCATTTTCAAGCAAAATCAGCACAAAACAAGCAAATATGTTGGTGTTTTCTGATAATAAATCAACAGGGCATGGACTTTTTCGTGGGAGGAAGCGTATTGTGGATTATGGACTGGAATTCTAAAGGTTTAAAAATAAAAGCCTTGATGGATTTGTTTACTACAAACATATATTTTTTCACTTCACAAGACATTAATTGATGAACTGGAGTTGTGTCTCATTTTGACGGCACCCGTTTCATTGGTGAGCAAGTGATGTAAAGCTAAATTTCTCCATATCTGTTTTGATTAAAAAACAAACTCATCTCTTGGATGGCCTGAAGGTGAGTCGATTTTCAGCAAATTTTCATTTTTGGATAAATACTCCTTTAATGTAAGTGCTTTTATACAATTCTAAGCTACAACTTTCTGCTTTTAAATGCTCCAAAAATTGGCCCCATTTACTTATTTTATGTTTAAAGAAAACAAGACACAAGTCTAAATTATTTTTCTAGTAATCACCATTACACCACAAGTGCTGTTGATTGAGCTTAACTTGAACCTCAAATATTTCTTTAACATAATACCATAGATTGTGTGTTGCATTATAGAGGGAAAGTTCTTATAGCGTAGTCTACCCCCTTTTCCCATAACACACACACACCTGCTCTTCTCACTCAAATGTATGAACTCTACAACCTACACAGTCCCTCTCTCCTTCCTTCTAAGCAAGTCTCTCTTTTTCTCTCTTACATGATGTTATTGGTCCTCTAAATCTGTGTATTCAGCTGCAGTCTTCGCTCACTGACTTGTCCCATCCAACTCAAATGAGAACACTGAGTCAGTCATTGCATGATAAATACATAACTAGCAAAGAATTGATGGCACATTAAATTTGTTAACATAAGTTAACACAGTTACCTAAAAAAAAAAATATATATATATATATATGAAGAAATTACTATTAACTGAGACTAATACATCTTTAATTGGTGATTGTTTTGAACATTTAAATTGGAGATTGTATGGATCAGCATAGCTTTATTGATTATTGCCCACCACAGGCTTGTAAAAACAGCATGCAGGTGTTTTGAAAATGTCGTAGATGTTGGGAGGGGGTTGTTGGTGCAGCTGAGGGGACAGAAAGTCCTGGGTTTAAGTGACGCTGACATGTTTGTGAAAGCTGCTCCAAGTGACATATTACGGGCCATGGAAGCAAAGAGAAAATAAATGAGACAGAGAAAGAGGGTCTGGAAACCATTTGCCACTGTCTCACTCTCTCTTTCTTAGATCATTCTTAACATCTGCCTCATGTTTATTTACCCAACATCCGCTTCTGGCTACAAACAAACCATCACTGCGTGAGCTCAGCCCCAAGCAGAAACTCATAGCCTCCAGCAGAACTTCTGCCCCTCGGCTACAAACCAAACAGTTGAGAGTTCAACAAACACAATTATGTGAATTTAATCTTGTTATCCTGCTAATGGTATTTAAAGCTGGAGTAA